CAGAGAGGGAGAGAGAAATAGGAACATCAATGATGAGAGAGAATTATCGATTGGCTGCCTCCTGCACACCCCCACATTGGGGATCAAGCCCACAACCTGGGCACGTGCCTTGACCGGGAATTGAACCAGTGACCTACTGGTCGACATTCAACCACTGAGATAGGATGGCCAGGCGGTGATGTAATATTTAATTATAAATTATGATGGCTGACCCCTTATATCCTGCTAACTTTCTTTGAAAAGTGCTTTCTCTTTAATGGATTATTAGAGCCTCAACTTTCCCTTTGAAAAACATCGTTAGCATTTATGTTAGGCAAATATTCACAAAGAAAGATCTTAAATGCAGTATTAGGTTACTGATGTTAACATGGAGTTATGTACATAGGCGATTTTTTGCTTTCAGTAATGGATTTTATTGTTCTGAGTAATACACATTCATGAACATACTCACAGCACTGTGTGGCATCCGGATAGGGCTCCCTTTCGTACTTACAGATGGAAACTCACATGTCTGTAACTTCACGTAAAGCAGTGGTACTCAACCTTCTGGCCCTTTAAATACAGTTCCTCATGTTGTGACCCAACCATAAAAGTATTTTCGTTGCTATTTCATAACTGTAATGTTGCTACTGTTATGAATCGTAATGTAAATATCTGATATGCAGGATGGTCTTAGGCGACCCCTGTGAAAGGGTTGTTCGACCGCCAAAGGGGTCGTGACCCACAGGTTGAGAACCGCTGACGTAAAGGAAGGTTCTGCTCGTGGTTTTATTTTCTTAGGGTGGTTGTTAAACATTTGTCTCCTTCTGAATAGTGTTTTCTGTTAAATTTGTGAGATTGTCAGGGTATCCTTAAGAAAATCACTTTCAAAAGGTGTAAGCCAAAGAATGTACCACAAAATGCTTCATGTCGTCCTAATTGAAAATGGTATTTCACAGATTACAAAGTCACTGTGCTGATCGTATCCCTTAAAGCTTCTGTAAGCAGTGTACATAGAGAAGGTAAAGTTGAGACTGACACAGTGCATGTCTGATTTTTCCTAAAAATTTTTTTTTAGGAAGCAAATTGATGTTAAAACAACACGGATCTCTATCTTATATGATGTGTTCATGAGCCAGTTGTTTTATTACGGACACAGGGAAGCTGCCACCTTAATATCATGTGTTTTCAGTAGATACAATTACTTTTGTTGTTGTTAATCCTCACCCAAGGATATTTTTCTATTTTTTTAATGTTTTTTTATTGATTTCAGAGAGGAATGAGAGAGAGAGAGAAACATCAGTGATGAGAGAGAATCATGGATTGGCAGCTCCTGCAAACGCCTACTAGGGATCTAGCCCGCAACCCAGGCATGTGCCCTTGATCAGAATCGAAACTGGGACCCTTCAGTCCGGAGGCCGATGCTCTATCCACTAAGCCAACCAGCTAGGGCTCCATTGATTTTTAAGGAGAGTGGAAGAGGGAAAGACAGAAAGAAACATCGATGTGAAAGAAACACATCAACTGGTTGCCTCCTGCATGAGCCCTGACCAGGGTCCAGCCGGGGAGAAGCCTGCAACCAAGGTACATACCCTTGACTGGAATCAAACTCGAGACCCTTTGGTCCGCAGGGCAGTGCTCTATCCACTGAGCAAACCAGCCAGGGCAGTGGCTACAATTATGATGGAAACAGAACCTGAAGTAAACCTGAGTCTAAATGGTCAATGAAGACCTGGCCAGGTGGCTCCATTAGAACATCCTCCCTTACACCAAAAGGTTGTGGGTTTGATTCCCGGTCAAGGTGTGTATGGGATGCAACTGATCAATGTTTCTCTGTCACATCCATTTTTTTCTTTCTCTTCCTCTCTTAAATTAATAAAAACATATCCATGGGTGAGGATTTTAAAATCTTTTTTAAAAAGGTCAATCTATGACAAAGGATGCAAGAACATTCAATGGGGTGGGCAAAGGTAAGTGGTCTAGTCAATAAAGGCTTTGGGAAAATTGGACAGATACATGCAGAAAAATAAAACTAAACCACCTTGTTACACCATCTCCTATATAATAGAAGTCTAATATGCAAATCGACCGAATGGCAGAACAACCGGTGGAATGACTGGTCGCTTTGATGCACACTGACCATCAGGGGGCAGACGCTCAATGCAGGAGCTTACCCCAGTCTCCAGGCCCCAGGCCAGCCAAGGCAGGTTCCAGCAAGGGGGCGGTGGGGAGGGGGAATCCCCAATTGCTCCAGCAGTTGCGCTGCAGAGGGAGGCGGCTGGTGGCGGCAGGGTTATCAGGGGGCATAGCCGGCTAGTGAGCAGGCTGGCACCACCCCCGATTGCCCTGCCCTTTGCCTCCCTCTGTGGGAGGTGACTGGTGGTGGCAGCAGGGGGTGGGGCTGGCAAGCGTGCAGCACCAGGTTGGCCAAGGCAGGTGCCAGCGGGGGCCCCCTGATCGCTTTGCCAGTTGCCCCACAGATTGGCCCTGATCACTGGCCAGGCCTAGGGACCCTACCCATGCATGAATTTCATGCATTGGGCCTCTAGTATGAGAATAAACTCAATTTGGATTAATGGCTTAAATGTAAGATTTGAAGTTATAAAATTCCTAGAAGGAAACATTGGCAATAAAATCTGAGACATTTCTCTAAATATATTTTTTCTGATATGTCTCCTTTGACAAGAAAAACAAAAACGAAACAGATCTAACTACATCAAACAACGTTTTGCACAGCAAAGGAAACCATCAACAAAATGAGACGACTACCCACTGAATGGGAGAACATATTCACCAATGATGAATCTGATATGGGGTTAATATCGAAAATGTATGAACTATTTATAAAACTCAACATCAAAAACGTACAGTACAATAAAAAAGTAGGCAAAGGACCTGAATGGACACGTCTCCAAAGAGGACATACATAAGGCCACCAGACATGAAAACATGCTCCACATCAGTAATCACCAGAGATGTGAGAGAGAAACATTGATGGTTTACCGCCTGTACGCGCCCTGGCTGGGCCCTACTTCTGACATTCTATCAAACAATCACAAAACACTAATTTGAAAGAATACGTGCATCCTATGCGCATTGCAGCATTATTTACAATAGCCAAGATACTGAAGTTACCCAAGTGCCCATCAATAGCTGAGTGGTTAAAAATGTGGTATGTATATATGATGCAATATTACTTGCCCATAAAAAAGAATGAAATCTCCCTTAACCGGATAGAGCGTCGGCCTGCGGACTGAAGGGTCACAGGTTCGATTCCGGTCAAGGGCATGTACCTTGGTTGAAGGCGCATTCCCAGTGGGGAATGTGCAGGAGGTAGCTGATCGATGTTTCTCTCTCATCGATGTTTCTAACTCTCTATCCCTCTCCTCTCCTCTCTGTAAAAAATCAATAAAATATATTTAAAAA